TGAATAAAAATGAACAATCTGTATTAGCTATTTCATTTATTTGAACTGTTTGGTCTTAGGAAACTAGCTTTCCTTTTCAAAAGGGAAATGACTCTTGCTTGTGACCTCATAAAAATACCATTACAGAATTCTATGCACATTAAATACACAGAATGTGAGATCTATCTGCAATATATAAAAAAGTAAAGTAATTGAGAACCTAGTTACTTTTTACAAGCATAAAGATTGTGACCAGATTCATGACCAGTTGTCTGCAAATAAAATATTTTATTTTTCCAAATTATGTTCTCTTACACTTAAAATGTACCTATTGAAAGCTAAATTAAAAATCAAAGAGTATAGAGTTTTGCTAGAAATGATAGAAATCTAGAATCATAGAAATATTACTTAATACAAAACACCCTTTTCCAAATTAAGTTCTCTTACACAAAACGCCAGCAGCAGCAGAGTGCTGTCTTATCCACTGACCACGTGCTAGCATGAGCCACAGGCTGGTATATCACTTCAGAAAGCACCATTGTGTGACAAAGATTAACGTGATTGCAGAAACAGAAAAACAGGAAATGCAAGTGGCCGTTCTCAAAAGGAATAAGTTCGGGGAAAAGTTGGGGAAAAACACTGGCAGGGCTGCTGTGAATAGTGATTTTTAGCTGGAAATATTTGGCTGCATTACCAAGTTTCGTTAAGGATGCACTTTCGTAGCGCTTTGCACAGGGTTCGCTTGCACACAGTGCTCATGGTGCGGCAGTCGGGACACACGTGCAATCCAAGAAAAGCAGCTCCTTCACTAGCATTCACATTCCCATCAGCGACGTACTGCTTCACTGGCAACAGAGCTCAGAATGATGCAAATAGGACTGGAAACAGCATCTCAGCAGTGGCCTGGTTTTATTCTACAATAAGCGGGGTTGCAAATCTTGCTGTTGCAGGCAAGACTTGACTCCTACTACCTGAGCACAAGCATCATCTGACCCAGGCCAAGTACAGGCAGCTCCCAAATAACAGAGTTTTTCCTCTTTTTCTCAGGCCTCCTTCTACCACAATTATGCTGGCACTAACACCTGGCTGGCCACAAGGTAAACAAAAGTGATATGCTGAAAATACCACAAAAAAAAAAAAAAAAAAAAAAAAAAAAAAAAAAAAAAAAAAAAAAGAAGCTTGCAGGCTGTTTGTGTGACCATTTGATCTGTAACGTTATGCAAGGTGAGACAGGGATGGGCTGAAGCGAGGCAGGATCTTCACCCCAGCAGCAGTGCCAGTTTATGCCAGATTAGGCTGACAGGGAATTTGGATAATAAACCCTGGGCAGACGCCCTGTCAGATCCTGATGAAGAGGTGGAGTTTTTCCTGCCCAGCAGATGATGATGGCTCTCGTCAGCAGGGCGTCTTGGCTGAATTATGTGTCAACAGCCTAAGTCAAGCCATCGGTAAGGGCTCGTATTTACAAATGATCTGTTGCACTGAGAATTGTACTGTTACATTTTAAGTTTGCTAAGTACATTGGGCTTGAACAGCATACCTGTTTGAGCTTCATGGGATGTGGCTGGGGACAGCCTGCAGTGGTTATTGCATAACAGTTGCTGCGCTGCCAATACCTAAGAGTTTCTGGGTTGAAGTAAGGGCAGCATTCTCATTCAAATTACTATATCCTTTCTTTTTCTAGAATTCAAAACGTGGATGTTTGCTGAAAACCCTGTCTGGGAGAACAGACAGATAATCCACCATTAAAAGGGACTATCTTGGTGGGTGCAGATGAGCACAAAGCCACTGGCATTATCCCACTGAATTCAGAGCCCTGAATACCAAACACAGGTACATGATAAATAGCCATGTGACTCCTGCAGAATTTATTAAATTGCTTCAGAGAAACAACCTTTCTGCCTAACTGCCGTAATTTAAAGTAATTAACATAATTAGAAAGCTCAAAAGCTATCTCTTTAATAATAACATTTTGCTTTCAAATGTGTATTTTACCACTTCATGAGTTTTTTTTTTTCAACTCCCCTCCCGGCCCCCTCCCCTCAACAATTGCATGTTTGTAGCAATATACAGGGCATCATTATCAAATAAAATAGAATACATCTGTAGGTGTAACTGCATCTCTGCAGTTCTGGCTTTGGACTTTGCAGATATAGCTGTATTAGGCAAAATGTATTCTCAGGTGGTAAATGATACTTGCAGAACTCTGCAGATTGCTTGAGGGCCAATATCTAGGCTCCTAAATGTTTCTCTGTTAAAGGTGGCACTTAACAAGTTGCTAAGGTCAGAGATACTTGAAATGAATGCAAAGCTGCTGTCTGTGTTGGTAGTCATCCTTCTCCAAAGTCTTCAGACTGCTTAGGAGAAAAATACTATACTATTATATAACCTTTATATAACGTTGTAGTAGTTCCAATGCAGCTTCACAAAAAAAAAAGGGCTTGTGGTAAAAGACTGAGTGGAGAATTACAGCTCTACAGGTAGCACTGATTATGGTGTACACCTTTTAAAAATGTGGGTGAAAGGAACAGGGAGGAAAATAATTTCCTCACATTTACAGCCTGTGACAACACGCACGCTGACAGCTTGGGGATATAGCAGTCACCTGGCAGAGCTGTATCCTTCCTTATTCCATAGCAGCTCATTTGTGTAGCTATAATCCAGGTTGTGTAGTTATAATCCAGGTAAAAGTGTCTATATGAGAGCTAGTATGGGACTGCTGGGATAGGACGGTTATTTGAAGCTATTTGCTCACTTAAAAATCATTTTCTGTCTCTCTCGGCACATGCAGTAGGAAAGAGGAGCTAAAAAGCAACAGTCCCTGCTGCAGAGGGGTTTTCATGAGACAGAGTAAAGGAGGAATCGCTGCTGCACAGCATTTTGGACATGCTTGCACACATTTCAGTTCAGTTATGTCAACAGAAAGAAATGCAGATGAAGAATGAGCAACAAACAGGATGTTTTTCTTGCTTCTTGCTGCTGTACTTTATGCAAAGGACATTTCTAACCACACAATAGTGACAAAGATATCTAAAATGAGTTTTGGTGTCTTTTTTGCTGTTGTTTGTTTAAGTCAGTTTCCATGACTTAAGTAGCTTGTATGTTAGCTTGAATGACAGACAAATCCAAATGCTTTAAAAAGGTCTGGCAATACCTGAAGCTGACGTAGATACTGAGGAATGATTTAAACACACACACACACACATGAACAGATTAGGGAACAACACTGTACACAGTTCTTACACTGTTGTTTACCACGCAATCTTTCCCCTGCCGCCCATCCCCCCCTTCTGCACGGCTCCTTTTCACTTTTACTTTTGCAGGTGCAGCCCTTCCCTGCGCAGGCGGGCGCACAGGAACCGGCAGCCTGAAGCTGTGCCTCGCCTACGGCCAGTGCAGCAGCAGCCGCAGCCGCAGCCGCAGCCGCAGCGTTTGCACGTCCCGCGCATGTGGAACCGCGGCAGTGCCCGGGGCCAGCCCGGTGCGGCTGTTGGGGCTGCGAGCAGTGCATCCTGAGCATCTATCCTATCCTGAGCAGCCACGCGGGCTCTCTAAACCTGTCCTTTGGTGCAAAAAGGCTTCAGGAAACGAGTGGGCTGGCAAACCAGGTCTGTGCATGGCTGAGACAGAAACTGAGACCTTCCCCCAAACTCTCCAGTTCCTGGCCTTGTCGTCCTGCACCTATCCCGCATGTGCCTCTTGCTGCCCATGGTGGTGCCTACCAGCGCCGCTCATGACAGGCCGCAATTAAACCTGGAAATCCCTCATCTACCATACAGCTTCCTACGTGTGTATTGAGGTTTCTCTTCACAGAAAGTTCCCTGTCGAGGCTGTGCTGTATCAATGTTTTTCTGTGCAAACAGCAACTGTTTTCAGTTGTTGAGGAAGTGCAGCAGAAAGATGAGAGACTCAGCCAAAACACGGTCCGTTGTTCCCCGCCACACACAGGCCTTGCACGGCTAGCTCCAGCTCCCCAGCTTCCAGGTTCTCTTCCCCTGGCGCCGGCACCTCCCCCTCAAGGGCTCTGGTGCCAGGCGAAGCTGCAAGGTCCCGCAGGCTCCCTGAGCTGAGGCGCCGGAACCCCGGCTTGTCCGTAGTGGGCCCAGCCTTCTCCCCCGCTTCCCGTGGGACGCCAGGTTGGAGCCCGCACCTCGGGCTTTGTCACGGGGATTGTACCGGGTTTGCATCAGCTCCCGGAATGCCTGCCGCCACGGGAGCGGCGGGGAAGACCTGCAACGGCTCTGAGCCCGGCCCGGCCGCAGCGGCAGCACGGCCCGCGCGAGACGGCCGCTTCTGCCACAGAAAGCTCAACAGGGCGTGACATGAAACGCTGGCCTTTGAGGCCTGAGCCAAGCCTGGGAATAAAAGCTGCGCTTTGATTCCTTAACCTGGCATGAGGCCTTGGGGAGCTGCACTGCTGGTCGGACATCCTTGCTGGGGAACTGCTGCCGTAAGCCCCTCTGGATCCCCGGGACACCGGGAAACATGACCTTCAGAGAGGGCGTTTCTCCGGCTGCACGAGCAGTGGCGGCAAGAAACGCACGTTGTTCTTACTTAGCAAGGGCAAAGTCTAGAATATAAATGATTTACGTGCAGATACAGACGGGACACGCTGAATAACGGTACTTTCCGCACAATTTAACGACTTCTCCATCCCCCCGTGCTTCCCTGCCCAGGGCCGCCGTCCGGCCGCCGCCTGCGCCCTTTGAACCGCGGGCAGCTGGTCCCGCCCCTCGGCGGAACGGAGGCGCCCCATAGGCGGCACGGAGGGGTCCCCGCGCGCTGATTGGCGGAACGCCCGCCGGGGGCGGCCCCATGTGGCGGGCCTCTCGCTGCCCGCGGGCGCCCCCCGGCGGCGGCGGCGAGAAGGGAGGAGGAGGAGGAGGAGGAGGAGGAGCAGCAGCAGG